TATTTTTTTTCTCTTTTCTATCAAGCTTCTCCCAACAAGAAGACTGAAACACACCTAGGATTTAACTTCCTTTATTTGACTTTTGGGTTTTTTTTTTTCGTTTTCAATTTTTATGTTTAATTTTATTTTACTATTTTTTTCTTCCTCCAAAATGAAAAGATTGAAAAATTCACCTCCCCCAAAAATAACAGAAAGAAATGACAATGAAAAGATGGAGAAATTCACCTCCCCAAAAAAGAAGAGAAAGAAATGACAACTAGGGATTTAATCAACACAGATACAAGTAAGATGTCTGAACTAGAAATTTAAAATCACGAATACAAGAATAGTAATTGGGATTGAAAAAAGCATAGAAGACACCAGAATCCCTTTCTGCAGAGATAAAAGAACTAAAGTCTAGTCAGGCCAATTTAAAAAATGCTATATCCAAGATGAAATCTCAAATGGATGCCATGATGGTGAAGATGGATGAACTATAGCAGGGATTCAATGATATAGAAGATAAAATTATGGGGAATAATGAAGATGGAAAAAAAAAGAAATGTCTTAAATACACAACCCAACTTTACACCAAAGGGAGCTGGAAAAAGAACAGCAAGTAAACACCAAAACCAGGAGAAGAAGGGAAATCATAAAGATTAGAGCAGAAATAAATGATATTAAAAAGAAAACAACAACAGTAGAACAAATCAATGAAAGCAGGAGCTGGTGTTTTAAATTTTTTTAATGTTTATTTATTTTTGATACAGAGACAGAGCATGAACAGGGGAGGGGCAGAGACAGAGGGAGACACAGAATCTGAAGCAGGCTCCAAGCTCCAAGAGGTCAGCACAGAGCCCAACGCAGGGCTCAAACTCACAAACTGTGAGATCATGATCTTAGCCGAAGTCGGATGCTTAACTGACTGAGTCACCCAGGTGCCCAGGAGCTGGTGTTTTAAAGAATTAACAAAATTGAGAAACCCCTATCCAGATTTCTCAAAATGAAAAAGGGAAGGACCCAAATAAATAAAATCATGAATGAAAGAGGAGAGTTTACAACCAACACAATGGAAATACAAAGAATTATGAGACTATTATGAACAATTATATACCAACAAATTGGGCAATTGGGAAGCAATGGATAAATTCCTAGAAGCATATAAACTACCAAAACTGAAACAAGAAGAAATAAAAAAAATGAACAGACTCATAACCAGTAAAGAAGTTGAATCAGTAATCAAAAATCTCCCAACAAACAAGAGTCCAGGGTCAGATGGCTTCCAAGGGGAATTCTACCAAACATTTAAAGAATTCTTTTGAAGCTGTTACAAGAAATATGAATGGAAGGAAAATTTCCAAACTCTTTCTATAAAGCTAGGATTACCTTGATTCAAAACCAGACTATGAACCCCCTAAAAAGGAGAATTACAGACCAATTTCCCCAATAAACATAGATGCAAAAATTCTCAACAAGATACTAGCAAATTGAATTTAACAATACATTAAAAGAATTATTCACCAAGATCAAGTGGGATTTATTCCTTAGCTGCAGGGTTGTTCAATATCCACAAATCAATCAACATAAATATAATAAAAATAATAAAACATAACGTAAAAATAATAAAAAAAGAAAGACCACATGATCCTTTCAATAGATGCATGAAAAGCATTTGATGAAATACAGCATCATTTCTTGATAAAAAATCTGAAGAAAGCAGGGATAGAAGGAACATACTTCAACATCGTAAAGGCCATATATGAAAGATCCACAGCCAATAACATCATCAATGAAGAAAAACTGAAAGGTTTCCTCCTAATGTCAGGAACATGACAGAGATGTCCACTCTCACCATTGTTGTTCAACATAGTGTTGGAATCATCAGCAATCATACAAGAAAAAGAAATAAAAGACATCCAAATCAGCAAGGAAGAAGACAAGCTTTCACTCTTCACAGACAACATGATGTTACACATGGAAAGCCCAAAGATTCCACCAAAAAACTAATAGAATGGATAGATGAATTATGCAACATTGGAGGATATAAAATCAATGTACAGAAATTGGTTGCATTCTTATGCACCAATAATGAAGTAGCAGAAAGATAAATCAAGGAATCAATCCTATTTACCATTGCACCCAAAACCATAAAATTCCTAGGAATAAACCTAACCAAAGTGGTAAAAGATCTGTATGATGAAAACTATAGTAAGCTTATGAAATAAATTGAGGAAGACACAAAGAAATGGAAAAACATTCCACGTTCATGGATTGGAAAAACTAATACTGTTAAAATGTCTATACTACCCAAAGCAATCAACACGTTCAATGTAATCCCTATCAAAATGGCACCAGAATTTTTCACAGAGATAGAACAAACAATTCTAAAATTTGAATGGGATTAGAAAAGACCCAGAATAGCCAAAGTAATATTGAAAAAGAAAATCAAAGTAGGAGGCATCACAATTCCAGACTTTAAGTTATATTACGAAGCTTTAGTAATCAAAACAATGAGGTACTGACACAAAAACAGACATGTTCATCAATGGAGCAGAATAGAAAACCCAGAAATGGATCCACAACTTTATGGTCTATTCTTCAACAAGGCAGAAAACAATATGCAATGGGAAAAAAGACAGTCTTTTCTACAAATGCTGTTGGGAGAACTGGACAGTGACCTGCAGAATAATGAAACTGGACCACCCTCTTACACCATACACAAAAATAAATTGAAAATGGATGAAAGACCTAAATGTGAGACAGAAAACCATCAAAATCCTAGAGGAGAACACAGGCAGCAACCTCTTTGACCTTGGCCATGGCAACTTTCTACTACAGATGTCTCCAGACACTGGGGAAATAAAAGCAAAAATGAACTATTGGGACCTCATTAAGATAAAAAGCTTCTGCACAATGAAGGAAACAATCAACAAAAGTAAAAGGTAACCTATGGAATAGGCAAAGATATTCACAAGTGACATATCAGATAAAAAGCTAGTATTCAAAATCTATAAAGAGCTTGTCAAAGTCAACACCCCAAAAACAAATAACCCAGTTAAGAAATGGGCAGAGACATGAAGAGACACTTTTCCAAAGAAGACATACAAATGGCTAACAGATACATGAAAAACTGGTCAACATCACTCATCATCAGGGAAATTAAAATCAAAACCAAAATGAAATACCACATCACACCCATCAAAATAGCTAAAATTAACAACTCAGGAAACAACAGGTGTTGAGGATGTGGAGAAAGGGGAACTTTCTTACACTTTTGGTGGGTATATAAACTGCTGCATCCATTCTGGACAAAGTGTGGAGGTTCCTCAGAAAATTAAAGATAGAACTACCAGCAATTTTACTGCTAGGTATTTATCCAAAGGATACAAAAATACTTACTCAAAGGAGCACATACACCTCAATATTTATAGCAGCATTATTAACAATGGCCAAGTTATGAAAAGAGCCCAAATGTCCATTGACTGAAGAATGAATAAAGAAGATGTATACATATAATATGGAATATTACTGTCATCAAAAAGAATGAAATCTTTTTGAAATCATTAGAAATTTTGCCAGTTGCAATGACATAAATGGAACTAGAATGCTTTATGCTAAGTGAAATAAGCCAGTTAGAGAAAGAAAAATACCATATTGTTTCTCTCATATGTGGAATTTAAGAAACCAAGTAGATGAACATAGGGGAAGGGAAGGAAAAATAACATAAGATAAAAATAGAGAGGAAGGTAAATCATAAGAGACTCTTAACTACAGAGAACAAACTGAAGGTTGCTGAAGGGGAGGTAGGGGTGGGTGGGCCAAATGGGTGATAGGCATTAAGGAGTGCACTTGTTGAGATGAGGACTGTGTGTTATATGTAAATGATGAAACACTAAATTCTATTCCTGAAAACAATACTACATTATATGTTAACTAACTTGAATTTAAATAAAATCTTGGAAGAAAAAAAATTGAAGGTGAAGGATGAAACCATTTAAGTGTTGATTTGGAATTATTACACAGAAAAACCTTGGTTTGTGAGCATAATTCATTCTGAAAACATGCTTGTAATCAAAAGCAGTTGTATAGAAAGCAAATTCAACAACTGTTGGCTCAGTTGTGATCATGTGGCGTTCGGCATCACGTACTACTTGCATTGCAACATTACTCATTTATCAAGTTAAAATTTATTATAAATGTTTTCTCTCCTTGCAGAACACTCACAGAACAAGTTACTTGCAATCCAAGATTCTATTGTATTTGTTTTTTCAGGAACTAACTGGGTTACATATATAACTGATACTTGGCCATGATTTCATTTTCCTTTAAAGTTCTTATGAGAATATGTCAGATATTTTCTATTCTGAGACTTTTCTAGGAAAACCTTTTTGTTTTCATGGTAATGAATGTATTCCTTTAAAACTTTCTTTGCAAAACTGAAGTGTGCTTTTTTCCAATTTTACTGTCAGTTTTAAATTGTGTTCACATGTGTTTCAACAGTTAATTTAGTGTGAATTTCTTCAATTAAAGCAGTATAATTTAAAACAGAAAATTTGTATTTCTATTTGTATGAAAAGTATAGTATATTTTATACTCTCGTGATGCTTATGAATCTTAGTTAATATATTTGACACTATTTTCTAGTTACTATTCATTATTTCATGTGAACTACACACATTTGATCCCCTGTTACATCCAATGCCACATTTATCACAGTTTGGTATGTATCCACTGAAAGACATATTTTTTTCTGCATAAAACCACATACACCAAATATCAAATATATAACTTTGCTAAAATTATATTATGAATTAATCAGTTTGCAAAAGGAAAAAGGTATTAAACTCATTTGTACAGTCAAATAAAGAGAAGTTTGATCTTGATAAATGTTTAACAATGTTTTTTACACATCTTTGTAAAATGTTCACTATGTAACAAAGAAATGATTGTAAAGCAAAATTGAAATTGTAAAAGCCCCCATGTTAGTGATTGCAAATGAATCTAGATATCAATTAACCTTATGAAGCTCTCATATTTTTTTTAATTAAAAGTAACCAATGTATATGGAAGTATATGCAGATCTACTTTGGTAAACATATTTTGTATCATCACTGCACATTCATTCCATCTTCAGGAATTTCAGAATCTCTTTGTTCTCCTTTGCCTTGTGAAACATTTCAAAATCCTAAAAGGAATTAAAATTAACTTGTAACATCAATGCTGATAATTTCACTTATGAAACAATTAAATTCAAGTGTCAAGGTCAGTTTGCTAATTATCTTGCCTGGGCCTTTGCAAATGTCTACCAGCTAAGTTAGTTAAAAGAATTTCCCCAAGGTATCAGTTATTTCATCCTATAACGTATGGTGAAAAATACTGTGTATCTCCAAACAAGCAGCATGATATACTTTCCTTTTATGGTATTTTTCATAATGAAGTACACATTGCCTTATCTTCAGGAACACAATTAAGTTATTATGTAAATGAAAAAACCTCACCCTCACAGTCCATAAATGTATTGTTTCCCCATTTATATAATCTTAAAATACGAAATGAAAATAAAATAAAAATGGAAATTTACTCTTACCCCACAATATTCTTGGCCATTGAATATCTGAGGTGGCAGAGCCCTAGGGGTAGAAACTTTAGTCTTCATTTCCTGAAGTATTTTCAAACTCACAGAAATATCTATTAATTCATATTTTATTTTGTAAGTATCTAAAATTCTGGTAACTTCTTCCTGTCTCTGCTTCACCTAGATAGACAAAGATATAAAGAGATGGAAAGATGTTAATCAACTGGCCCCAATGTTTTATGTTTTATTTTTATTTTCCCTATCCATTATGCTATGGTAGGGTAATAGATTTTAATGGTGTGATTTTTTTGAGCAGCAAAATTAGGTAATTTTATTGTGATAAACACATACACATACACACATATATAGTATATATATTTAATATGTATATGAAGAAATACAGTAAGGTGTCAGTGGGAGTTAAAAATGTCTAATGGGGTATAAATATTTACTATATTGATTTCAAACTTCATATGAAATGGTATGAACATTCTGCTAACAGTTGAAGCACACATTTCAGCTCATCACTGCATTAATTTATGCTAATATCTATGGTAGTCCTGTGTAGGAAATGAATAGGATACCAGGTTTTTACATTTAAAAGAACAAACTGCATGTTCTTAACAATAATTGGAGACTATGCCTAAGTGAGGAGATAAAATCTACAGAATGAGAAAATAAATCAGAGGATTAAGATTTACAAAAACTGTGAGTGAATAAAAGTGGTCAGTTCTTGCTATGTCCTCCTATATGAACTTTACATATCTGTTATCTGTTATAAAAGGCTGTATATCCACCCCCATTGTCTTTTCCCCTGAAACACTACTGCCAAAGTATAATTGTAATAATTGGTTATCTTTTAAACATAGTGTAGGGGCACCTGGGTGGCTCAGTTGGCTAAGCGTTTGACTTCGGCTCAGGTCATGATCTTGCGGTTCATGAGTTCAAGCCCCATGTCGGGCTCTGTGCTGACAGCTCAGCTCCTGGACCCAGCTTCAGATTCTGTGTCTCCCTCTCTCTCTGCAACCCCCCCCCCCGCTCATGCTCTGTCTGTCTCTCTCAAATATAAAATATAAAAAAAAAATAAATAGTTTATAAGTACGTTTTTTGTTAATAACTGTAACATAAATCTTAAAATTTGAGTTTTCTACATTTTCACATGACAATCTTGGGCAATTTTGCCACATAAAATCTGTGATGCTAGAATAAGAAAACATATGTAAAATCAATTTGACAAGTACAAGCCCCAGTTTATTCAATTATGACTTCTGTGAAAGTGCATGGCAGAAGGTTTTTTGTTTGATGACTTAAAAATATAATCCAGTCAGGTTTAGAAAACCTTGTCTATTTCCAACTGATAGTGGAGAAGTTTCTGAAATTCCATCATGCAACATTTCTACTTTCTGAGGCTCATTAGTCTTCAAAATTGCAAAAGCATGATTCATGTGACTTAAGTCACATTTTTATAGTGTTTTTTTCAAAACTCTTTTTAGAGGAACCACATCATGAAAACAGTTGTTTAGACTAGTGCTAATCTGAGTGTGATTTATAAGACCAGCGTCATCAGCCTTATCCCACCCCAAAACTATAGAATTTGGGAATGGTTCTCAGGAATGTTTTAACAAGCCCTCCAGATGATTTTTATGTTACAGTTTGAGAGACACAGACCAACAGTTGGGTGAATCTTCTGCTGCATCCATAATGGTCCTTAATGATTTCAAATCATTCCCTCTTATAGAATCTTAGTACCATATCCAATAACATAAATTACAATGTTAAAAATAGTCAAAAGGTCCATGATTTTAGTTTTAAAACTGCTTCTTGTTATTGTTGTTTCTTAGTACCCAGGTGAAATCCTTAGTTGTTAAGGCTTTATGCAGAAGCAATGCACTATTTCTAGGCTGAGATAAAATCTCATTGCTCCTTGCATCTATCATGGTGCCTAACACACCGAAGGAGTGTGATGAATGTTTGTTAGCCATTTATAATCCATTCTAAATTCTTCAGTTTTCATGCTTTTCCAAAAACTTTGCAGAATGAGGTTCTTAGACATATAACATTCCTTGTATAGCTGAGCTGTGATAACCATTAGCCAGCCACATGTGACTATTGAGAACTTGAAGTGTGGCTAGTCCAAAATGAAATGTTCTGTAAGTACAAAATACATACTGGATTTTGAGGACTTAATATGGAAATACATAACATCTCTTTTTAAATATTCGTTATATGTTGCAATGATAACATTTTGTAAACTTTGTGTTAAATAAAATATATTAAAATCAATCTCATCTCTTTTTTTAAGTCATTACTAGAAAATTTAAAATTACACATGTGGCTCACAATATATTGTTGTTTGAAACCACCGTTCTACAATATTTCCTACAACATGGTCAAAATAGTTCATCTAACCTGTAACCTAAGACATATCTGATCTATGCAAATACATATTCTTCTTAGAAATTAAGTTTGTCTTTTTGAGGTTATCCAATCTTCTCTGAGGATTATGGCCATTTACTCACTGGCATTTTCCCTCTCCTATCCTAAACAGTGTTCTTTAGCTCTTCCATCTCCCATCCTAAACATCCTAAAGAAAAAGGTTCTTTATCTCTTCCATTTGAAATATATGCAAAATTACTGAAATAATAAAGTTGGCTGAACTCAGGACCCAGAAACCTCCCAAAGTAGTCAGTTTCTTAGAGCACAACCAGTGTGAGGGCAATAACCACATTCTCTGTTGTCCACTGCACCTCCCATTCCTGAAAACCTAGAGAGGAAGGAGCTGAAGAATGAAAGACAAGAAGGAGATGGTAATGCCCTAGCACAATCCTGAAGTCCCCAACTAGAATGTCTTCACTCTAGTCTTTTTTGCCGGCTAAGGCTCTTTTCTTTCCACTCACCTCTCTAGACCCTGACACGCTGGTGTAATAGACTTTAATGGAGCTCATCGTTTCCATTTAAAGGCTACTTTGCAGAAATAACCGAGTCAGTCACTTCATTACGGCCTAAGGCTGAGCTAATAGAAGTCCCAAAACCTGGCTGTGCCTTTTCTCAGACTGTTGCTAAGAGCCGTTGGCCTGTACACTCTGGATTGGCTGGGAAAGTAGTGCCCTTGTGACGCAGGAACACTGGAACGTCGTGACTGCCAGCCTGGCAGGGCATGAACTCTGGGGTGATAAACTTCTGTTAAGGCCTCTTTTCTCCCCTCATTGGCCGGGGAGGCACAGGGGAGGACTGGATGGAAGAATTAGTGGACTTTGTATTCCTGCTACTCATTCTCCCACTCCCTGCTTAGGGATGGTGGTAAACATGAGCTGTTTTGTCTGGCAACCACAGCCGCAAATGAAGGGCTGAGACACCTGAGGGAGAAAATGATCAAAATACAATGTTATAGCAAATAAAGAGATATATTAAAACTTGTATTCCCTAAATTTGTAGTGACAGAGCAAGTGGCGCCAATGCTTACTTGGACAGGAAGGGACGGGACCACCATAGCAACCTTTGATGCTTTTTTTCTTAGCTTGGGGAGGTGACTACTTTCCCACTCCCATGTTCCTCCCTTCCTGAAGACAGCAAGCTTTCCTATGATTTGATCTTTTGGTTTATGTAATAGTGGGTTCAATAGTCGCTGACTCTCCTAGCACTTCCTCCCTACACCTGGTATAAAACAATGACTTCGTGCTTTAATGTCTACTTCTTCAATACATTCGTAGCTCATTATTCTAGCCTTTATTTTCAAGTAGTTGAAGATAGTGATAATGTTTGCAGAATTTCTTTGGTTTGCCAAAATTAAGCAATGGAAATTGACAGTAAAGAACTAAAGAATTTTAGCACCAGTTTTTCTGTTAAACAAATTTGGATTCCATGGTTCTACCACTTGATAACTATAGATCTTGGGCAAATTACTTCCTTCTGAATGTCAATTTCTCAATCGTTAGTGTATAAATGTGAATAGTGACACCTACATGACAGCATCATTATCAGGATTAAATGAACTGAGTATGTAAAAGTGTTTGGCACATGGTCTGGCATGTCGTTAGTTTAGAAAATTATAATTATTATTTAAAAAAATAATGTTTTTTTTTTTGAGAGAGAGAGAGAGAGAGTGCAAGCAGGGGAGGGGCAGAGAAAGAGGGAGACAAAGAATCTGAAGCAGACTTCAGGCTCTGAGCTGTCAGCCCCTGACATGGGGCTCTAACTCAGGAACTGTGAGATCATGACCTGAGCGAAAGATGGATGCTTAACCGCCTGAACCACCCAAGTGCCCCTATAATAATTGTTATTGGTAAGTATCTGACTGCTTGCGTGATGTTTGGGAACAAGCATATCAATATGAATAAGAGGAAGCATTTACCTTCAAGTTACTCACAGAGTGATAACTTTTAAAGTGAGATAAATGCAATGTACAGAAATCTAAATCAGGCTAGGTGGGTCAAGGCAGGTATCCCTGAAGAAGTGAGAGCTAAACTGAAACCTGAATTATGTGTAGTATGCCAAGAAATTATAATAATAAAGAAGTTTTGGGTAGAAGGAACAGTCATGAAGCAATGTGGTAATTGGAACTTTGGGAGCAAGTGGAGGAATAGAAACTGAGGAAATAAATAGGAAAAACACATAGGCCTTCAGGTTTCATGTTAGATTTTGACGTATAGTCTTTTCAAGGCTGTTTCTTCTTTTATAAAAATGTGGAAAATCTTAACTTGCAAATTTACTGTGAAGATTAAATAAGTTGGAGATGTTGCCTAAGGGCATCTTTCACTTATGAAGCACTCAATAAATTATATCTATTATTAATCCATGGATGATTAGACAGCTCTGAAGCATTTAGCTCTTTGTGTGAAAGGTGGATCAATCTAGAATATCAAGTGGACTTGAAAGGGGGAAAGACTGGAAGCACTTGCAGCAATACAAAAATAAAATGACAATAGTGAAAGGGAAAGATATTTAGGACAGGGGACTGCTAGAATTTGGATATAAGAGAGAGAGGCAAAGGAGATGGATATAACCAATGAAGGAGTCTAGGTTAGGAACAATATGAGATCTCCATTTTCTTTTGATATTTCTTTGTGATAGCAGTGGTATAAAATCTAATTTTTTTATTGTTTTCATTATCTTTCTGGTGTGAGATTGTGACTTATTTTCTCATTTTGCTGTGAGCTCTTTGGTGTCAAGCTAAATTAATGCACTATTTCATATAATAGGTTATCTTTGACAACCTAAAGTAAATTGGTTGGTATGACATACAAAATTTGAATTAACCTATTGTATAGGATGTTTTTGATAATTATTTTGAAGTAATTATTTTTTTTAAAAAAACTGTATTGATAATTGTAACTGAAAGTATCATCTATGTAGATGTTTGTTTATGCTTCCCTGTCTACTTGGGCAGTTTGTATCTGAGTTCAAATCATTCTCAAGAATGGGACAGAAACTTGTGGGACTGGAAAAAATATATTCTAAGGAAATTAGTATACTTTTTCTTGTCCTTTTATATATGTGACTATTTATTTATTTAATTACTTATTTTTTACTTGTAGCAAGAATTACTATCAAAGTCCACTCATTGACGCAAAGACCCTTGTGGTGTTACCAAAAGACTTTCCCCTCATGTAGCATACTACCTGTAATTCTGAGTTCATCAGCTAGCCAGTGGCCTCAACTCCAAGCTCTAACAATGTGCATGACTTATTGATCATACAAATAATACATGAATTCATGCACATTTTATAAGTCAAACCACATAGAAATATAGAGAGTAAAAATTAAAATTACACTATCACCTTCTCTTTAAAATCCTCCTTCCAGAGGAAACCACTATTAACAGTTTGATTTGTATCATTTTTCACAAACATGATGACATTTATTAAGTTATAAGGGATAACAGTCACTTATAACATGAAAGTTAAGTACACAGTCTACTTTTTAAAAAAATATGGAATGCTTCATCAATTTTCGTGTCATCCTTGCACAAAGGCCATGCTAATGTTCTCTGTTTTGTTTTGACTTTAGTATATGCACTGCCAAAGTGAGCACTATTACACAGGCTTTGAAGTGAGGCTTCTTGGGTTCAATCCCAGACTCTACCACTTACAACTGTGTAATATAGTGCATCCTATATAACTTCTTTGTGCCTCCGTTTTCTCATGGGTGAAATGGAAATTATAATATGTTTCATAGAGATATTATAAGGGTTATACTACTTAGTGTATGTGAAGTATTAGAAAAATGCCTGGCACATATACATGATGGAATCATATTGTATATGTTGTTCTGCAACTTCCATTCATTAGTACAGATAAAGGCAATATGGTGTACCGATTAAGTAAGTGGATTCTAAATACAATTGCTTGGTGCAAATACTAGTTCTACCATTTACTATGTTTGTGAAATTCAACAAGTATATAAACTTTTTCTGTCTTTGTTTCCTTTGTAAAATTCAAATAAGAGCTTCTGTATTTTTAAGTTTTATTTGAATTCCAGTTGGTTAACATAAAGTGTAATATTAGGTTCTGGTGTACAATGTAGTGATTCATCAGTGCTCATCACAACAAGTACACGCCTTAATCATCATCACCTATTTAACACATCCTCCCATGCACCTCCATTCTGGTAACCCTCATTTTGTTCTCTATAATTAAGAATCTGTTTCTTGGTTTGTCTCTTTCTCTTTTTTTTTGTCCCTTTGCTTATTCATTTTGCTTCTTAAATTCCATATATGAATTAAATCATGGTATTTGTCTTTGACTGACTTATTTCACTCAGCATAATACTCTCTAGCTCCATCCATGTCATTCCAAAAGGCAAGATTTAATTCTTTTGTATGGTTCTATAATATTCCAGTGTGTGTGTGTGTCTGTGTGTGTGTGTAACAGCACTGTTATATATATAATATAATATAATATAATATAATATAATATAATATAATATATAATATATAAGTTTATATTATATATAACACATCTTCTTTATACATTCATCAGCTAGTGGATATTTGGGCTATTTCCATAAAGTGGCTATTGTAGATAATGCTGCTATAAACATCAGGATGCATGTATCCCACTGAAATAGTATTTTTACAGTCTTTGGGTAAATAGCTAGTAATGCAATTACTGGATAGTAGGGTAATTAAGAAGAAATAATATCTGTTCTTTCTAAACTATTCCAAGAAAAAGAAAAGGAAGTAAAACTTCCAAATTCATTCTGTGAGGCCATTATCCTCATATCAAAACAGGATAAAGATACAACTAAAAAAAAAAATAGAGGCCAATATCCTTGATGAACACAGATGCAAAAATTCTCTACAAAATTCTAGTGAAATGAATTCAACAATACATTAAAAAGATCATTCACCATGACCAAGGGGGATTTATCCCTGAGTTGCAAGGGGGGCTCAATATTCACAAATCAGTGATGTGATACATCACTTTAATAAGAAAAAAAACAATAAGAACCAACATATGATCCTTTCAAAAGATGCAGAAAAAAAACATTTTACAACGTACAACATCCATTCATGATAAAAACCCTTAACAAAGTAGGGGTAGAGAGAACATACCTCAACATCATAAAGGCCATATATGGAAAACCCATAGCTAATATCATCCTCAAAGGGAAAAAAATCTGAGACCTTTTCCTCTGTGGTCAAGAATAAGACAGGATGTCCACTCTCACCACTGCTATTTAGCATAGTACTGGAAGCTCTAGCCACAGAAATCAGACAACAAAACATAATAAAAGGCATCTAAATTGGCAAGGAAGAAGTCAAACATTCACTCTTCACAGATGACATGATATCTTAGATTGAAAACCCAAAAGATTCCACCAAAAAATTGCTAGAACTGATATATATCCAGTGAAGTCACAGGATACAAAGCCAATGCACAGAAATCTGTTGCATTTCTATACACCAATAATGAAGCAGCAGAAAGAGAAATCAAGGAATTGATACCATTTACAATTGCACCAGAAACCATAAGTTACCTAGGAATAAACCTAACCAAATATGTGAAAGAACTCTGCTCTAAAATCTGTAAAACGCTGGTGAAATAAACGAAGAAGACTCAAAGAAATGGAAAGACATTCCAAGTTCATGGATTGAAAGAATACTGTTAAAATGTTTATACTATTCAAAGCAATCTACACATTAATGCGATCCTTGTCAAAATAGCACCAGCATTTTTCACAGAGCTAGAACAAACAATCCTAAAATTTGTATGGAACCACAAAAGACCCCGAAATAACCAAAGCAATTTTGAAAATGAAAAGCAAAGCTGGAGGCATCACAATTCTGAACTTCAAGTTATATTAAAAAGGTGCAGTGATGAAAACAGTATGGTACAGGGCACAAAAATAAACACATAGATCAATGGAACAGAATAGAAAACCCAGGAAAAAAAGCCCAACATCTATATGCCCAATTAATCTTCAAAAAAGCAGGAATGAATATGCAATAGAAAAAAGACAGTCTCTTCTACATTTGATGTTGGGAAAAGTAGACAGCTACATGCAAAAGAATGAAACTGGACCGCTTTCTGACACAATACACAGAAAATAATTCAAATGGATGAAAGATCTAAATGCGAGACAGAAAACCATAAAAATTCTAGAAGAGAACATAGGCAGTAAGCTCCTTGACATCAGTTGTAGCAACTTATTTTTAGATATGTCTCCCAAGTTAAGGGAAACAAAATTGAAAATAAACTATTGGGACTACATAAACAAACAAAATAAACAAACAAACACAACTTCTGCAAAGCAAATCACCAAACTAAATCACCAAAACTAAAAGGCAATCTACTGAATGGGAGAGGGTTTTTGTAATGACATATCTGATCAAGGGTTAGTATCCAAAGTATGTAAAGCACATATGAAACTGAACAACCTAAAAATGAGTGATCTAATTTAAAAATGGGAAGAATACATGAATAGACATTTTTCCAAAGAAGACAAACAGATAGCTGATACATAAAAAGATGCTCAATTTGGGGCCTCTGGGTGGCTCAGTTGGTTAAGTTTCCAACTTCAGCTCAAGTCATGATCTCATGGTTTGTGAGTTCAAGCCCCGCACCGGGCTCTGTGCTGACAGCTTGGAGCCTGGAGCCTGCTTCAGATTCTGTATCTTCCTCTCTCTCTGCCCCTCCCCCACTCATGCTCTCACTCTCGCTCTCTCTCTGTCTCAAAAATACATAAAAATTTTTTTAAAAGATGCACAATTTACTGATCATCAGGGAAATTCAAATTAGCCTACAATGAGATACCACCTTACACCTGCTAGAATGACTCAAATCAACAACACAAGAAACAGCTGTTAGTGAGGATGTGGAGAAAGGGAACACTCTTGCATTGTTGGGGGGAGTGCAAAGTGGTGCAGCCACTCTGGAAAAGAGAATGGAAATTTCTCAACATGTTATAAATAGAACTACCATATAATCCAGCAATTCAACTACTAGGTATTTACCAAAAGAATACAAAAATGCTAACTCAAAGGGATGCATGCACCACAATGTTTATAGGAGCATTATCTACCATAGTCAAATCATGGGAGCAGCCCAAGTGTCCATCAATAGATTAATAAAGAAGATGTGGTACACACACACACACACACACACACACACGCACACACACACACTGGAATATTACTCAGCCATAAAAAAGAATTAAATCATGCCATTTGCAATGACAAAGATGGAGCTAAGAGAGTATTATGCTAGTGAAATAAGTCAGTCAGAGAAAGTAAAATGCTACATGATTTCTCTCATATGTGGAATGTAAAAAAATGAATGAACAAACGGACAAAAGAAGAGAGAGAGAGGCAAACCAAGAAACAGACTCTTGACTATAGAGAACAAACTGAGTTGGGTTGGAAGATGGGTTAAATAGGTGATGGGGATTAAGGAGGGCACTTGTGATGAGCACCAGGTGTTGTATGGAAACACTAAATCACTATATTGTACACCTAAAAATAACATTACACTCTATGTTAACTAACTGGAATTTATACTTTTTATTTTTTTAATGTTTATTTCTGAGAGAGAGAGAGAGTGAATGGAGGAGGGGCAGAGAGAGAGGGAGACACAGAATCTGAAGCAGGATTCAGGCCCCGAGTCATCAGCACATAGCCTGACATGGGGCTTGAACCCACAAACCATGAGATTATGACCTGAGCTGAAGTTAGATGCTTAACTGACTGCATCATTCAGGCGCACTTAACTAACTGTAATTTTTAAAAAAGTTAAAAAAAATGAAAAAAAATGTCATGAATTTGATAAAGCTATTTCTATTAATGAAAAAGTGGCTACATTTATAGTTCTACTCAGAAAGTTTTCATGAGGCCAAAGTATGTATAAATATCCATCTCTTGTACAAATTCTGAGGTGTAGTATTTTTTTTCAATGTGTGACTCAAATGATATTAATTAAGCACAGTACAAAACAATGTACAATATTTATAGATGGAGAAAGGATTAGGCACTTTAACCAAAAACTTTTAAATAAATAATTTATTACAGTTTAATACATACATTAAAATAATTATACTTTTGTATAAGTTTGTGCTTTTTAAAACACTTTCATATATACCATATAATATTATCTTGACAATAATGCTGTGAATAAGGGAAAGGAATATTATTTTCAGTATTTAATTGATAGGAAAATTGAAATCCAGGAATGGTAAATAAATTACCTGATTTTAAAATGTTAATGGCTTATCTTGATGAGCACTGAGTCATGTATAGAATTGTTGAATCATTGTATTGTACACCTGAAACTAATATAACATTGTATCTTAATTATATTTCAAAAGAAAGAAAGAAAGAAAGAAAGAAAGAAAGAAAGAAAGAAAAAGAAAAGTTAATGCAGACTCAAGTCTCCTTATTCATGGTGCTATTGTCTATTCTTTGAGCAACACTGCCTCCCTAAATTACTTGTGTTTCATGTAGGAGACAAGTGTTCATTTTTACATTCAGGCAATGTACACTGCCTGAATGAGTTCTTTTACATTACAGGAATGTACCACACTCTTCTGTTTA